TCAGATAGTGTGAATACTCTGATCTATAAAGAAATCCCTGGCGTATTGTCACTAAATATTTGTCAATTCTGTCATAATACCGATAAATGTCTGAGATTATAGCATAGCGTCACCTTTGTGCACAAGTCCCTCTCTTTACAAGCCCTGCGTTCTGCATTTCGTAAAATAATGAAGATTATGCTTCGTAACCTCGATGGTGAGATGATGCAATAGAGAACTTCATGATCACTTCCGAATTCCTTGAGTCAGAAAACTTTTGGGGGGGGGGACACTTTCCAGCTTTTCTTTGATTATGGTGTTCACGTCGCTGTTTGTTTCTAATGATTGATTGTTAATCTCCACCAGTGTTCTTGTAACCTTTATCTTGCCCATGTTTAATTTTCTCTTGCCATGTCGCAAAACTGTACAAATAAAATGGGCACTGATTTCCTAGAAACGTTTTGGTCTGTAAATTGAAAGAAATGAACATCATTTCTCATTAATCTCAACAATAAACAAAATAGTTAAAAAAATGCATAAGAATTTTAAAAATAGAAGAGCTAAACTTAATTGAGGATTTGTTTGCCTTTTTTAATCGCTTCTGTTAATTCATTTCAGTTCTGTTTATTCAATAAGGAATTTAACTAGTTTATTGTAACATCTGTTCTAACATTGATCTTTAGACCATCATAAGATTTTGTTTTATGATGAATCATAATATTTTAAGTAAAAAAAGTCTTGAGACAGATTCGCGCGAACATGACTATAATTTCAAATTCCAATTTTACAAAGAAAGTAGCAAAAATATGCTTGCTCGTTTAGTTTCATTACTAGGATATTTTAAGGTCAGTTTTGATTTATCTAAGACCGTATTAGCTTTTTGCAACTTTTGACTAAGAAATGTTATTTTTACTTTTACACAGGAAGATTTGATTTACACAAGCACCACGTTTCCACAATTTACCTGTGATGTAGATTGACACACCTGATATATATACACAAAACACTGACTGAGTTAAGGACTGAACAATAAGGAGTTTAACGTCGAAAAGTGACTCCCCGTAGGATATTGGCTAGGAGATCAAATTTCCACATAGAAAAATGACCCCGGGTCAATAGTCTACGACAGGTAGGGTCATTTTTCGACCATAAAGTACCCTTCCAGGTCGGTAATTCCACGACTCCCTACACGTTGAAAAAAGGACCCCAAAGAAATCTGACCCTCAACTTTCCCTATATTATATAATATAACCTTTATACACGTTGATTCTGGGTTAAGGAGGATCAGCCAATTAAAATTAATGAATGAAACTGTCCCCGGAATCATGTTATCATTTTATAATGCCCATGTCGGGTTTACAGTCTTCCTGCAAGTCAAAATATTGTTAAAATATTGTCTAATACATACTTGGTACCCGTGACATGATATAGCCAGTACACATTATGACGTCATTGTTCTTTACTACACAAGATTATAAAGGACTTTAACAAAAAAAAGCTTCGGCGCAAGTGCATGCTTCATTTTTATACGGGGGTATATTGTTTTTGTCCTTTCTGTCTGTTTGTCTGTCTGTTGTCAACTTTAGCCTAGCCCATAACTATTGCGCTGTCAAGGGTAGGGCTTTCATATTTGACATGAGTGTTCATTATGACAAGCCCTTTCTTGGGTACCACCATATATGACCCTTTGACCTTGACCTTGGAGTTTGACCCAGTTTTGCAAAATTTCACTAAACTTTAACCTTGGCCATAACTTTTGAACGGTTGGTGCTAGGGCTTTCATACTTCACAAGTGTGATCCTTGTGACAAGACCTTTCTTTGGATCCAACAACTTTGACCCTTTGACCTTGAAGTTTGACCTACTTTTGGAAAACTTTAACCTTGGCCATAACTTTTGAACGGTTGTTGCTTGGGCTTTCATACTTCACATATGTAATCCTTGTGTTAAGACCTTTCTTTGGATACCAATAGCTGTAACTCTTTGACCTTCACCTTGGAGTTTGACCTTCTTTTGGAAAACTTGAACCTTGGCCATAACTTTTGAACGATTTGTGCTTCGGCTTTCATATTTCACCTGTGTATTTCTTGGGAGAAGGTTCCTTTGGCACCATTAATTTTGACCCTGACCTTGATGTTTGACATACTTTTAAGAAAAAAAACTCTAATATTTTCCATATCTATTCAATGGTTGCTGCTAGGCTTTTCATATTTTACAGGTTTATGCCTCGAGACAAGACCGTACTTTGAGTGTCAACATATTTGATTTGCATTTGAGAAAGATTAACCTTTGCTATAAGTTGCCATACGGGGGAATCAGTGTTTCACAAACACATCTTGTATTAGCTGAAATAAATGTACAGATGAGAACATGAAATATTTCAAATGGCCTGATATCACAGATGTTTGTTCCAGTCCTGTCAATGGCAATTACCGTAGCTGTAACGACTACTAAAAACGAAAACAGTTTGCGAGGGTGAATATAAAAAAATTAAGAATGTAGAAAGTACGATTCTTAATTAAAGCTTAAATACACCTTATGTTAATTACAGGGCAGCGGAAAGGCTAAAAAAATTTAAAGTGTATGAAAGACAATTGATTACATTGCCCCTTCCTTGTCCAGAAATTAGGATACATGTTACTGTATTGCTATTTCATGTGATATATGTGTATTTGTATAAATAAAATGTTTACTGGCTGAATATCTTACGAGAGGCAAGTGAAGACTTGGAAGTGATTCGTCACAATGTATAATAGGGCGAAACAGATTCTGCTTAAGTAAAAAAAAAAGGTATAAACAGAAGAAAACACATAAATAAAAGTAAGTATTTCACTTTGGCATTTCCTGCTCCCTTTTCTTTTGCAAATAGCATATGCATCTGCTTTCTCAGCAAGTCTTACCGATGTGTCTAATAATGGGAAGGACCATTTTATTCTTAAGAAGGCGGGGGTGCAAGACTTTTGAAAATAAACTGTTCTCGAAAAGCTGCACATTCCTTCGTCACAGAATAGAATCCGACATTTAACACTTTATATATATTTTGAATATACAGACGTTTTGAAGATAAAGTTCATTTTTGTTTCTAGAAATGTCTTTAATTACAAACAAAAGTATATTTTCGTGTTTTTAAACTGAGTAGATTGATGACCTATCGTTTTAGATAACTTGGCCCCTCTAGCCCTGTCTAGGGCTTGAGTAAAAGATCTGCACTGGTTATGAAACTATAATTGTAAATGCTTGAAGTCACCTAAACAAAGGTAGCATATATTTTTATACCTCTCCATAAAAATGGATTTCCAAACATGGTGACAAATCTTCTAAAGATTGAATTTCTTCTACTGCTGTGTTTAAATTGTTCTGTCTATCGACTATTAAATTTGTCATGCCCTCTATAGTCTCGGAATCACTAAATCTAGTGTTCTACCTGTGACAATATGTTTTTGAAAAATTTTCAAGATGTCGAATTGGTCCACAATATTTTTATCTTTACAATAATTTTTAACCATTCCTACAACATCAGAAACTGTTGTAAAGAGTTGTTGCAAGTTATTGTCTTCAACCTGACTAGGTGCATCTTCTCTCTCTGACATATTGTATTCTGCCAAAAGAATGTACTGTACTAGTCATCCTCTGCTCCTGTTCAATTAATCCTTATTGTCCAGTTTCAGAAAAAATGTTTAATGAGTTGTTGGGATACCGTGTTGTCTCCATCAGTAGTAAGGGGGACAGAGAACAGTCAGTCTACAGTCAGGATGACGTCATGGGTTTTCCCCATAAAGGTCACAAGGTCAAGGGGGGAGTCTACAGTCAGGGGGTAGCCTACAGTCATGGGTAGTCTACAGTCAAGGGGGACTCTACAGTCAAGGGGGTAGTCTACAGGGGTAGTCTACAGTCAGGGGTGAGTCTACAGTCAATAACGTTCTGGGATTTCCCACCATTTTGGGACGGTCACTGTTTATTAATTTTAAGATTATAAAAACAGCTGTATCCACAGCAACAACATAAGGATGTTACTAAATTTAGAATAATCGAAACACACTGAGGTTTGTATCCACATTCAACAATGCGACAGACAGTTGATTTGCATAGCAACAGTCCAATATCATACCTAAGAATAATAAATTTAGGAAAAAATACAGAGCCCTTGGGGACAGGGTTGCAACCACAGTAACAACATTAAGGAATTACTAAATTTAGAAGTACAGACTGATACCCAGCAACATTCTAAAGTTAAGACTAAATTTACGATTTTTAGTCCGTCTTGGGTGGTGTAGGAAATTAACTATACCTAGAAACAAGGCAAGATGAAAACTTATTTTAAGATCCTAAATACATCTGTAACCACAGCAACAGTGTAAAGTATTGCTAAATTTAGAATTAACAAAATATTGTATCCAGGCATGGTTTAAAAACGCGGTTTTTTCGTAGGACCACTCCTTTAATATGAAGGCAAAATTCAGTATAAAAAGTGCAAAATTCGAAGCATTTCTTCACTTCACTTTTTTTTTGCATCAGAGGAAGAACCATTCATCAACTCTATACAGTAAGTAAACTGTCATTATCCTTTAACAAAGTTTTAAGATTCTCAATCTTTTTGTTATCAGGAGATCCAAAGACAACAGAGATGGTACAAATCATAAGTTTTTATTAACATTTTCTGTTACAAAGTATTGCATGGTATAGTGTTAACAAAGTTTTACAAGTACATATAAAATGGATTTAACCATTTGTCAATTTTAAAAGCACAATGTCCCTCAATGTCTTGGCAGCACTCATGAGAGAAGATATAAATTAATACATTTTCAAGTAGACAAACATACACTAATCAAACTGAACATAAAAATGATCTACAACAAATTAAAAAAGTTGTTACACTAACTTTACATTTTTAAAACAGTTAAGTCAGTTATTATTTTGATCTCTTCACAATCATCGTGAGCTCAGGGTGGTATTGTTGGATTCTGTACATTTCACACGGATACACACAGGCTTTCACTAAATGGTGTACCACAAATCAAACAACTAGAGCGTTGTAAACTTGACCCTTTTAGCCGAGGTACAGCTATCTACTTTAGACAACTTATCTTCTATAAAGTTTAAGATAATTTTAATTTGCTCGCAATCCAAGGTCACTCTGGCCAGGAGGGTTTTTAAGACTTCGACTTGTTCTAAGACATCTTGCTTGCTCTGTTCCTTCATCCTCTTCTCCAATTTACACATCTTGTCCGGATTTGTTCGCCTGTTAATGAAACAGAATCAACCTTAGTTACAGAGTGCCAGATTCCACATTCAATTAATTTATATCCCACATTTGGTGATTATTGGTTTGCGAGTTTTAAGAACCCATGTTTAAACATTCATCACCTCAAAGTAGTCAGGATGGAGTCTTCCACCTGACTAAATCGACCCTTATCATTATCCGAGTTACTGGTAACTGGCGCAAAGGCACTGCAGTTTGAATCGAGTGCCGGCGAGTAGCTGGCAACTGGTGCAAAGGTGCCGCAGTTACCCTGGCTCTCTGGTGTAGGACTTAGGGGTCTAAAGAGATCGAGAGAGAGGGTGAAAGACACTTACTAACTTTTTATTATGTTCAAACTAAATTATCGAAATTATTTAAACCTGCTTTTTCTGAAGTTCAAAAGATTTAATTTAACTTCATAAAAATCAGTTAGCTAATAGTTTAGAAATTAAACAATATGAAAATGTAATGACTAAAGATTTTTTTTTTAAAAAGTTATTAAATATACATATAACACATTCTGGTACATTACGTTACACAAGAATCCAATCTTTACCTTTTTAATGACTCATTTTCTTTGCCAATTGTACTTAATGTCGAATGGTAGTTTGGAGAGGGAGGGGGTGGAATATAACTTCAATAAAAGAGTGAGAGAAAATGTGAAAATAAAATACATACAGCACTTACGGTTTTTTCTTTCATATTTTTAATTTTATTTTATTATTATTATTATCATGTTATTAATTTTGAGAAAAGATGTCATCGAACTAGGTTTAAAAATTTGGAAAAAAAATTAAAAACTCAAAAAGTGATTAAATCAGATTAATTTTCGTTTCACAAAATTACACTTACCGAGATGGAAACGCAGACCGTTCCAATTCCTCCCCCATTTTAACCCATAACTCCTCAAAATCACTAAAGGAATCTGCGGTTTTGCTTCTGTGATGAGAAATACACAGTCCCGTACTAAGGGTAATCATGTGTTATATAAATACAAATTATAGATATTGTATTTTATATAATCTTATTTATCAACTTTAAACAGAATAAAAGAAAAAAAAGACGAACTAGAACTGTGTTCACCAACAATAAAGCTAACATATCTTTATAAGAAAATATAAAATTCGAATTAAAAATAATGTTTAAAAAAATTGAAAAACTTAGAAAACTTAACAGTCATAAACCTAAAAGAAAAGCTTCTTAACTTTGCACCTTAAAATAATTTAGCTAATTCTTAAAACAAAAGGAATATTTTACTTACAGGAAATCAAGGAATTCTTCTGCCATAATTGTCACTGATATTCTGTCAATGATAAAATCAGTTTGCAACCCCCCCATTTATATATTCTCTTGGACGGACGTTTTGCTCGTACGAAATAGGGCGTGTGTGTTGGGGTATCATCACTCTAATTGATGGATTGAGTAATGATTGAGAAGTTTCCGTATTATTCTTTATTCATCATCTGAACGTCTTTTGAATCACTTTTGAAAATACCGCCCGGTTGTTCTACACCTGCGCAAAGGTAATACATCATGACCTGACCTGAACTATTTCCTGGTCTTTATAGGTCAGGATGTATGTACTTAACGTGTGCTCATTCATTAAATACAGCTTTTATACAACTGTTCCAATAACTCATTTACTGAGGTCAGGTGAACCGATTTATTCACACAAAATAAAAAAAAATATGTATTATACATATAGTTATATTTAACAAAAAAAAAATTCCGCCGTATATTATATATTCCTTAATTCCTACACGAATTACTAACAAGTAGTTTAATAAAAAAAAAATAAAATATTTATATGCTTCAACTTGTTTTCAGTTAATGAGGCTAACAATACCATAAACCTAAAAAAAAAAATTAATAACACTGCAGCTCATCTTAATATAAGATTTTAGCTGATATTTAAGTTCGTAACTACCCTTTGATATGTACAGTATACATATGCCATTGAAAAAAATATATACGCGAAGGGTGGGGGAGGGGGGGGGGGCTTAAAAATAACAACAACAAAAAAAACCAGAACAATTTTATGGGGATAGGATCAGAAACATGCTCATTTCTATATATGGTTGGGAAACTGGAGGCTCTTGTCTGTCATTATAGGCGATGTTGTATCAGCTTGACATGTACATGAGGGCTATCCTCAGCCAGCGCCAGCACTGTGTAGGGAAAACAAACAATCAAAATAAGTTGATGAATTATAAAATACATTTATTATATATGATAAAGGGCCACCAACATGCGTAAAAATGATGGGACTGAATGTAAGAGATTTGTGACACACACTTGTCTCATACAAAAATGTCCTAATGATTTGTTAATTTCGAAACCGTCTTTCAAACCAGGGGCGGATCCGGAATTTGAAGTTAGAGTGGGCGCCAGTTTTAGGCAAGGGGTCTGAATAGCCCTGGTTGGGACCCAGGGGGCAATTTTTAAAATTATTTTTAAACGTTTGTAAATATAAGACCTGCAAAATCACAGCAAAACGCCTGTCATGCAGAAATATAAGAAACATATCTTTTTACTTTTTTCTTACGAATGGCTGTAAATTAATCAGTTTATGAAAAAAATCAAGTTCAATAGGACGATTTACTGATGAAGTTGAAAAAAGATAACCATGCCAGCTTGTATTGTACTCGTATAATAAACATGGAAGAGTCGTTTTAAACACTACTTTGTAAAACCAATTACTTAAAGTCGAGTGACTGTCACATTTGAATCAAAGAAGAGAATAATTAAAATAATCCGAGTTTCTATATTTGCAATAATATTGTATTTTTTGTTCAACATGTAGGGGGGGGGGTGAATTAAGTTTTTATAAGTTGTGCCCAATCCCATTGTAATATATAATATAAAATAAGTTAATGAATTATAAGATAAATCTAATAACTCATTTAGTAAATGAGACAGAAAAAAAAAAGATTAATGGGATGTCGAAAAAAATGTGGTATGAATTGATGAAAAGTGTAGAGGTCGGGTTGTTGATGGAAACACCCGCGAAATCTCCGTCACATGATTAAAAATCCGTGCAACTTTTGCGGCATAAATGTGAAGATGGCCAGAGCAATGGATCGTGGCGTCCCACTGATCATTATGATCGGTGTCATATTGATAAATTCGATTGACGGCAACAGTATTCAGTGTAAATTGTGTACTGGACGGTTTGGGGTGTACTATTGTACAAGCGTTTCTACAGAATGCGTGCGGATTTTCGGGACACCAAGAATACGTGAAATCAAAGTATTTAGTTGTGGTGTGAAAATTATGCGTGCTGGTGAATGGGGCGGACAGGATCCAATCATTAGGAACCGAAACAACAATATCTGTATTAGTGAGTATATTTTTTATAACTCTCCTCCTCTTTATGAATTGGAAAGCCGAAAGCCACCGTGGGAAAAAGACGAACCACGTGACAAAAACAGACCAATAGTCTTTCGAAATTTTTACTATGGAATGTGAATTTGTAATTGTATACAAAGGAAGAGGGGCTACATCTTCGAGACCGATTCACAGGATAGAATTAACTCTAATGAGGGGGATTCACCGGCCTGATCCAATTCTACTACTTAATTATGTCTTTCACTTACACCCTAACCCATAATAAGATGCGAGCCGGTTTTGAAAGGGGGTCATCTCAAGAGTCACTTGAATTTTGTTCTGATAATTTTCCGGTAAAAGATTGTTGTGCAATACAAGTCATAGTCAAATAATTAATATAACAATGAATGTTTTATTGAAATGATCTAATATTTTATCATGAGACATTTTGAGAAATAAGGGGGGGGGGGGGATAATGTCAATATGTTACTTGCTAGTCTTTACGTATATTAGCCTGACCTTGATTATGCATACTACATGTACGTCATCAGTCGTTGTGCACTTGTGTACATGGTGTCAGAAATATTTACTCTAATCATTTTCACAAGTTTAGCTTTAAAAAAAAAAAGCTTAGTCAGCCACTGGATTATTTCCCCCAGTAGTATTAATGTATATTGTATCAAATTTTATTGAATTCTTAACTACCTTCTAAAACATTAGTTGCAGTCCCGCAATATGCGATGAATTTAAAATTTATGATGCAGATTGAAAGAAAGTGTGGAGATTGAACATTAAATTCTACTGTTCCTCATAACTAGACATCATGAATTCCTTATTACCAGATTATGAGATATTACAATGTTTCTTTACAGAACCCAGTGTGTCTGCAACAACAACTGGGACCCATGCAATATCCTCAGAAACATCACCACTAACCAGGATCTTGAATCGGGTATCCAATCCCTCTGTTAAGGGTCAGTATTTAATTAATAACGTATACTAAAAGTATTCAGATAAGATTTTTAAAAACTTATTTTTATAACATGATATATATCAAGTATATGTTGTTGAAATTACCATTGCAAATTAAAAAAAAACAAATATATTTTTTACTAGACATTACAATGTTACTTTCTTTACAGAACCCAGTGTGTCTGCAACAACAACTGGGACCCATGCAATATCCGCAGAAACATCACCACTAACCAGGATCTTGAATAGGGTATCCAATCCCTCTGTCAAGGGTCAGTATTTATTGTATTTGTACTTTAGTAGGTATATTTATTTCCATCAAAGATACAATTAAAAAAAACATGTTTGTAAATTAAAGTAGAAAATAATTGTTACATAAAAAAAACGTTGAAATATTTAGTTAAAATTACTGTAGTATTTTTTAATGATTTTTTTTAGAAGCTGGTCCACAGTCATTGCTCAGTGATGTGGCAACTGGTATTTAACTGTTTTATTATTTCAATCTGTTTAAAAAAAAATTAAGATGTGTTTTAATAGAAACAAGGATTATTGACAAAATAGACAAATGAAAAAAATTAAGATAAACTCACTTTAAAAAAATGTACCGAAGTATAAATTACTTTGTGCTAGAATTTAAATACTCTGTTGATAGTTGATGCATGTATATCTACTTTAATTTTCTTTTATTTAGGATTTTTGATTTGGGCAGTAACAGTTACAGCCCTAATAATATTTTATGGGCTACGGAAACTTGTCAAGTTTTGGATAAATCGCTGCTGCCCAGCACTTAACATTTCTGATATGCATTTGCTATCACCATCATCATACACAACTTCAGCAGACACAGACACACCTCAGCAACCTAGACAACAAGCCCCCGCTCCTCAGCCGGGACAACAAGCCCCTGCTCCTCAGCCAGGACAACAAGCCCCCATTCCACAGCCGGGACAACAAGCCCCCGCTCCTCAGCTGGGACAACAAGCCCCCATTCCACAGCCGGGACAACAAGCCCCCGCTCCTCAGCTGGGACAACAAGCCCCCATTCCACAGCCGGGACAACAAGCCCAGTATTCTCCACCAACTACTAGAAGCAAAACAGCAAAAAAGAAACTAATGTTTGAAAGCAAGTCATAGGTTTTCGTGCTTTTATTGATGGGATGATTTTTCTTGGTTTTTGTTTAAGATTTAATATTTTGATGAATGTGTAGTCTGTAGTTTTGAAAGGATAATTCTATGAAGATTTGAAATAATTCTATGAAAATTTGAAATTTTGATGACTTTGTATTAAGTAATTTTTTTTTCTTTTCAGTTGTACAAGTGTTGAAGGGATTTACATATTTTATGACTGTGTAATCCTTAAATTTTTATTCACCTGTATAACTTTTAAGGGGACAACAGATTAAAGTTGTGAATTTTTGATGACAGATTTTTTTTTGAATGGGAAAAAGCATTAAGTTTGGGACTTTTTGACTGTTTAATTTTCATTATTTTCCTTTTTTTTTTAAATCAGATTTGTTAATGACATTTCACATTTTTTATAACAAATTTGATAATGACATTTTACTTTTTTTAATGAATGTACATGTAGTACAGAGCAATGGTATCGTTTAAGGACATTGACTCGTTAGTTTTTCTTTTGTGTTTTCCTATGGTTGCTTTTAATGTTTTTTTTTTTTTTTGTTTTTTTTTGTTGTTATTTTTATTTTATGCGGCAGTTTGTCTTTTACTTGTATACTCATAAAAGGAAAATTTTAACTCCTGCCTTATTTGTTGATTATTATGATTTACATATGACAGTGATTATTTGGTGATTTTTGTGATGTGCAATTGATGTAAAATGATGTTTAAGCTTTTTTTTTTTAAAACTGATAATTGTGATTTACACCTAACATTGATCATTTGCTCATTATTATTGTGATGTATAAGTTATGACATTAGGGTTAATTGTTGCAGCACATATTCCTATATAATAATATTTAATATCCAAT